GAGTTCGCTTCGGAGCAGGCTCAGATGTCCCGATATCTGAGTATGCTAAAGAGAGACATCAGGCAGTTTGTGTCTGCGTAGAGGTGCGAGACCTTGCTGGAGTTGCAGGAGGCCGCCAGGCGGCGTGATTTAGAGATTGAGTTGCATATGCGTGAGCTGAGGCAAGCTCCGGTTCAGTCGCAGCCGGCGATGAAACGGTCTAAGACCGTTGATTCCAGGATGGGAGATCAGGGTAACCACGTCTGTGGAAAGTGTGGAAGGGGTCACGCCGGAGTTTTTCGGTCCGGTGGAGCATGCCGCAAGTGCGGAAAGGAGGGACACTATGCAAGGGATTGTCGGCAGTCAGTGCCAGTTTGGGATTTGAGGATATGCTATCATTGTCATCAGGTTGGACATTTGATGGTCAACTGTCCACGGCTTGCTGCAGGACCGGTGCAGGCTCCAGCACCGGCTACGTTGAGGATCACAGGTGGAGGTCAGGGTGGAGCGGAGCCCCCAAGGGCTTAGGGTTGTGTTTTTCAGCTTGCTGCTGCGGGTATGTTTCTCTCTGTTGTTTTTGATTATTTATGATTATTGTGGAGTATTGTTATCTGCTAGTTTCGTTGGTTGGTTATGGAATTGCGTTTCGGGTTTTCATGTGGTATCCGTTGTCCCTTGAGGGTTTGACGAGTTGTGATCTAGATTTCGTTTTGGTATCCTTTGTTCCCTGAAGGATCGATATGGTTATGCATTAGTACTTCAAGCTATTGTTGATTATCTTTGTGAGGATTGGTGGCGGATGCGGCGTTGGCTTGAAGGTCGGGTAGATTCTACAGTCTGAGGAATGGATATTTGAAGATTGGGTTCCTTTCGAGCGGGTTGTTCAGTGTGGAAACATGATTTTTTATGAAAGTTGTTAGCGCTGGTGAGAAACATTTTGCGTGTAAGTGTTGATTGTCTGCATGGTTGCATTGGGAGATCGGTGATGGCGACCAGTGATTAATTGTCAGTGTCTTAAGTGGGGGAGAATTGGAAATTCTTCGGATGATCGTTGGGCCTGAGAGGTTGTTTAGCTGCTTGGGGAATTCAGCGGTATTTCAATCAGTCGAGAGCAGGCTCGTATGGGTGAGTAACAGGCGTGCGGGGCGGAGTACGGACCTAGAGCAATTGATTGTGGAAGGCATGGGACCAGGCCGGGTTTGAGTATGCATGATGGAGACAGAGTTCGGAACCCCTAGAGGGCTAGAACGGTATGCACGGGAGGATTTCCCGAAGGGATAATTCAGAATGATGAATGCTAGTTGAGCGATCCGGATAGACTGAAGGCCGGTAGGCGTACCAGTCAGGCCGAAGGCTCGGAGGACGGTCCAGTCAGATTGGCTGAAGGTTCTAAGAGTGGTCCAGATTGACTGAAGGCCTGGGGAGGCGGTCCCGTCATGCTGAAGACTCTGCGAGTACTGTTGGATCGGTTCGAGGTTATGGGTTGCGTATGTTGCAGTGTGATTACATTGGAAGGTCTGGCCCCGGGTAGCAATCTTGAGCAGTGAAGGTAGTGCATGGGCTTAAGAGTCCCTGCGATGAGAGTCAGAGTAGTGGTGATGCATGGATGTCGGGTACGCTTTAAAGAGGTAATGTAGCGTGGGATGAGTACCATAGTGCCTGTCATGGTGACAGGGCGGACGAGTGGTTTCCTTGGTAAGGAAAGGGGGAGGAATGAAATTCCGAATGGAAGTGCGAATCCACGAAAGTGAAAGCGGCAGTGTAGAGTTATGATTGGAGTGGTCTGTCGATGGTCTTTGAGTAGCGTGTTGCGGCGGTAGAATAAAAGCTCATTCGACTTGAAATGTTTGCCCAGGGCGCGGAGGGAATACCGCAGGCGTAGAACCGGGGGAGAGGGGTTCAGAAGGAATGCAGAGAGAGAGTCTTGGACTCTCAAGGAGTTTCTGATCAGGGTTTCGGGTATGTGTTAGCGGTTCATACTGGAAGGATGTTTGAGGATATGATCAGTGTATCGGCTTTTCCAAACCTGAGGGTGCTAGAGCTAGATCAGCATGTGTGTGTGATTGCGAGAGGAGAACTCGGGGGAGTTGCTCTGGAATGGAAGAATGGGTCTTTCTGTCGTCATGGAATGGATAGAGTGGGATTCGGATCGGGGATCCGATCGTTCATGGTTTTCTAGCCATATGATTCAAGTGAAGGATGAGAATTGGAGCAGTAAGGCATCATGGGTAATTCTCGGTTGTTGAGAGCGGTTATCGGAGGGTACAACTAGTGCCCGGGTTGAGTAGGTGGTTGGGGCACCGTATGGAAGGAGAAAGTGAGCTTTTGGTTTCTATGGTTGTGCCTTGAGGGATTGGGTTCGGTCACTGTCAGGCGGCGCGTCGTGGGAAGGAATTTGAAGATGAGATGCCGTAGGCTTCGAGGACGAAGCCTAATTTAAGTGGGGGAGAATTGTAACATCCCGGAATCGCAAGAGTAGAGTTGAAGGGCTAAAAGTGTAAGTTTCGGAGGGTGAATCGGCGAGTCCATGGATAGACTCGGCGAGTCAGGTCGCGACTATGGTCGCGTATCAAGTGGCCTACTCGGCGAGTCCAAAGATGGACTCGGCGAGTAGGTGCTGTATGGAGAAAACCCTGATTTTCGGGGTTGAGCCCTATATAAAGAGCATTATGCCCCTCCACATCCTCCCTTATTCCCCCCCTTGAGTTCCAGAAACCCTAAATTCGTGGAGAGTCCATTTGTGGAGCAAATTAGAGCTTGGAGAGGTGTTGGTTGAAGAAATCTTGAAGGAGAAGTGGCTTGGATCAAAGGGCTTTGCTTGGATTCGAGTTTCATTGCTGTTGAGGCATCCTTTGGAGGTAATACTTTCGTTCTTGGGCTGTGTTTTCCTAGATTCTCATTTTGGAGTTGTGTGGGGGGCTTGGTTGTGTGGTATCTTGATGTTTGGGGTATGGATCTGAGGTTGCTACCTCAGATCTGGAGTGGAGAAGATCATAAGAGCATTAAATCCCCTGTTCTTGTGTTGTTAATGGAGCTATCATGTCCCAAACCTTGGTTCTATGGTGAATAAGGCCTAGATCTCTTTAGATTCACGTAAAGTTTGCCACTTTACTTGAAGGATGGATTGTAGGAGGTTGGATCTATGTTTTCGATCAATTGCATGGCCTGAGATGCTTCTGTATGGATTCAGACCGGTGGCACTCGTCGAGTCACATGGGGCGACTCGACGAGTTGCTTGAAGATGGCCTGGAACTCGACGAGTTGGAAGAACAACTCGGCGAGTAGGTTGAAGATAGCCTTGGACTCGGCGAGTCTTTTCTTGGACTCGACGAGTCTTGTCGAAGAGTCCCAATATTTCTGGTTGAGTCGAGGAATCGGTGAGTCAAGGGATGACTCGGTGAGTTGGGTGTGAGTGGACTCAGAGTTGTTGGAATTGACGAGTCTTGGGGCGACTCGGCGAGTTGGATCGCTGATTGAAGGGAAGTTCTGAGCATAAGGACTCGGCGAGTCATCGGGGTGACTCGGCGAGTAGGGTCAGTCAGGGGTTGACTTTGACTTGTCCAAGGTTGACCAGTTGTCTTCCAGGGGTATTTTGGTAATTAAGGGTATTTATTGAGTTGTACGTTTTGATGTTCAGTGGAGGAGTTCGTGTCAGAGTTCGGAGCAGCAGGATCTTATCCTTTCAGCCGGTAGTTTCGAGGTGAGTTATCCTCACTATATCAACAGGGTCTAAGGCACCAAGGCCGGCCCTTTATTGGATTGAGATTCGGATATGGTTATTATGTTATTGTTTGATGTGTCTGCATCCTGGTAGCTAGGATGGTACATGCTAGGAGACCTTGTTAAGGTCAGTTCCCCGATATATATAAAGTGATGCTATGCGAGTGACCGGTTAGGTCGGTAACCTGGGTAGAGTAATGATATGCTATGTGATCTGTTTGTTCGGTTTGTTGGCTATGACTGTTATATGATTGTATGTTCTGTGCACATGGTTGTTTGGACTAGAGATGGGTTGAGGCGGGTCCTGCTTTGTGCTGTAGGCCAAGATACCCAGGGCGGACCGGTTATTCCAAAGGCCCAGCGAGCGGTCCGGATAGGCTGTAGGTCCCACAAGGGCGGACCAGACGTGCCGAGGCTCGGAGAGTGGACCAGGCCGACTGAAGGCCCGATGTGGGCGGACCAGTCACACTGTAGACTCAGAGAGTGGATCAGGTGGGTTGAAGGCCGATGCGGGCAGACCTACCCCACTGTAGACTCGAAGGACATGACTAGACCTGGAGGATGGATCCGGTGGACTGAAGGCCCGATACGGCGGACCAGTCACCCAGTAGACCCGATATGCATGGCTGTTCTATGTTCTGTTATGTTATGTATGTTTTATATGTTTTGGACCGGAAGGTCGCAGCCTGGAAGGGCGTATACGTGGTTGGTATTTGGGGGTCACTAAGCTTTCGGGCTTACAGTTGTGGTTTTAATGTTTTTTAGGTTCTTCAGGAGACCGTGGCAAGGCGAAGGCGTGATCGTACCGCTCCTCATGATTTTGTAGCAATGTGATTCTGGGAATACTCTAATGATTTGTATTGAAAAACCTTTTTGTAAACATTTTAAATGAAAATCGGGTTGTTTTGAAAAATTTAA